GGAGGTCATGAGGGTGGAGCCCCAATAGATGGGATTAGTGACCTCACTGGAGAGACTCCAGAGAGCTCCCTCACCACTGTAGATGCCTGAGCACAGACTGAGACATCAGGCCATGCTTGCTTATCCAGCTGGCTCCTGCATGATCCTGCAGCTGCATTCAAATAAATAACAGACTGGAAATGAGAAAGCAAGAAGGACGGCAGCTGGCTGGTCAGCTGCATGGCCAGGTGTGCAGACCATCGTGGGTCTGGCTTGGGTTCCCTTCCCAAGAGACAGTCAGAACCCAGACAAACACATTTGTTCCCATCTGTATCATCTGTTTGCTGGGCTCTGGACCACGTGCAGGAGTGCCATCTACTCACTTCCTGCCACAGACTGCGTGGAGAGGCAGCCAGGGATTTACCTTGAGGATCTCTCTCTCTCCACTAGGATTCTGATCTCCTGCTAGTTGAGCCATCACCTGCATGTCTAAAACAAAGTCCTACCCCTGAGGATTGAGCCTCACCACTCCCTAGTCACTGCACCACTTCCTGCCCTCACTGGCTCCCTGTGATAGGCATGCTCCCTAGGGTTGTACCCATCCTTGGTTCATGACCTATTTCTTCCCAACTGTGTCACCTCCAGCAACTTCTTCAATGTGTCTAATCCTTCTCTCCCACCCCCTTCTCCTTCCACCCGGGCTGCAATGCTGCGTGGTCCTCTGCAGGCTCCTAAGTGCAGCAGGACCCTTTAAGGAGCCCCCCCAGAGTCCACTGCTGCTGCTGCTGCTGCTGCTGCTGAGTCTCTTCAGTCGTGTCCGACTCTGTGTGACCCCATAGACGGCAGCCCACCAGGCTCCCCGGTCCCTGGGATTCTCCAGGCAAGAACACTGGAGTGAGTTGCTGTTTCCTTCTCCAGTATGCGAAAGTGAAAAGTGAAAGTGAGGTCATTCAGTCGTGTCTGACTCCTAGTGACCCCATGGACTGCAGCCTACCAGGTTCCTCCGTCCATGGGATTTTCCAGGCAAGAGTACTGGAGTGGGGTGCCATTGCCTTCTCTGCCCCAGAGTCCACAGCTAAGTCCAAAGCTTAGAATCAGATCTATTTGACCCTGACCCTAAGCCTGATTGCACTTGAACCTGCATCAGGGATTCCCTCCAGGAATGATTCCCCGGCTTTGGAAACCCTCACCTCTAAAATGGAGCTGACCCCAGGACTACTCTGGTGGTCCAGTAACTAAGACTTCCAATGCAGGGAGTGTGGGTTCAATCCCTGGTCAAGGAGATTAAGATACTACATGCCTCAGGGCCAAAAAAACAAAACATAAAGCAGTGTCACAACAAATTTAGTGAAGACTTTAAAGACTACACATCAAAAAGAAGAAGAACTAAAAAAATGATCAAATAAAAAATATTTTAAAAAATAAATAAAATGGAACTGAACTCTACAAACCTAGTTCTCCAAGCAACCTTAGAAATAAATGCTTTGAAGTCAGGACTGATTCCTCCAAATCTGCAGCCAAGCTCTCCAGCCCTGACATATTATTTTACTGCCAGAATGCTTCATATCTCACCCAGAGCTGATCCCCAAGCCTTGGGACTGACAACTTCTGTCCTAATGCTGCACTAGTATTTTATTTAGGATTTTTGCATTGAGGGTCATGTGTGAGAATGGCTGACAGTTTTCTTTGGGCTGTATTTGTTGGTTATAACTACTATACTAGCTCTGTATGAGAAATTTGAAGCTTTCCTTCTTTTTCTACACTCTGGAACTGCAGAACAGAGTTCATTGGCCCTGGAGGTCTCATTGCAGGACTCCCCTGGTGGCTCAGCCATAAGGAACCCACTTGCAATGCAGGAGGCTTGGGTTCGATCCCTGGGTCGGGAAGATCTCCTGGAGAAGGAAATGGCAACCTACTCCAGTATCCTTGCTTGGAAAATTCCATGGACAGGCTACAGAGGAGCCTGGCAGGCTACAGTCCATGGGGTCGCAAAAGAGTTGGATATGACCTAGCACTGAACAACAACAAACAACAGAAGTGTGATAAAATTTCTCTGTGGAAGCATCTGCACCTGGTGTTTTGGAGAGTAGCTCTTTGCTCTTTCCTCCTGTTTATCCTGTTATAGTTCATTTGTTTAAATTTTATAACTCATCTAAAGTCCATTTTGAGAAATTATATTGTTATAAAAATTATTTCATCCATATTTTGTTGTTGTTGTTGTTCAGTCACTAAGTTGTGTCCAACTCTTTGCAACCCCATGAACTGCAGCATGCCAGACTTTGCTGTCCTTCACTGTCTCCCTGAGTATGCTCAAACTCATGTCTACTGAGTCAGTGATGCCACACAACCATCTTGTCCTCTGTCACCCCCTTCTTCTCTTGCCCTCAATCTTTCCCAGCATCGGGGTCTTTTCCAATGAGTCAGTTCTTCGCATCAAGTGGCCAAAGTATTGGAACTTCAGCATCAGTTTTTCCAATGAATATTATGGGTTAATTTCCTTTAGGATTGACTGGTTTGATCCCCTTGCAGTCCAAGGGACTCTCAAGAGTCTACTCCAGCACCAGTTTGAAAGCATCAATTCTCCGCGCTCACCTTGCTTTATGGTCCAACTCTCACATCCATGCATGACTACCAGAAAAACCATAGCTTTGACTATGCAGACCTTTGTCAGCAAAGTAATGTCTCTGCTTTTTAAATATTCTGTCTAGGTTTGTCATTGCTTTTCTTCCAAGGAGCAAGCGTCTTTTAATTTCATGGCTGCAGTCACTGTCCACATTGATTTTGGAGCCCCCCAAATGAAATCTGACTCTCTTTTCACATTTCCCCAATGTATTTGCCATGAAGTGGCAGGACCGGATGCCATCATCTGGTCCTACTATTTTTTGAAAGTTGAGTCTTAGGCCAGCTTTTTCATTCTCCTCTTTCCCCTTTATCAAGAGTTCCTTTAGTTCCTCTTCACTCTCTGCCATTAAAGTGATATCATCTGCATATCTGAGGTTGATTTTTCTCCCAGCAATCTTGATACCAGCTTGTGATTCATTCAGCCTGGCATTTTGCATGATGTACTCTGCATATAAGTTAAATAAGTAGGGTGATAATGTACAGCCTTGATTATATAAACAAAATAATAAATAAATAAATATTATGATAGATTATTATATTTAAATCTGAACAAAGTCTTCCCCTAAGCTAATTTCACTTTCCTTTGTATCCAGAGTTTATTCCCCTTATTCCATATTTTGTATTTTTGTGCCTTCTTCCCTTTTTTTTTTTTAGTTTATGTTGATTCACATATATGTGTGGTCTTAGTTCTGTCTTACTGTTCTGTTATGGTTTCTGTTTTTTAACTTTTACAAATATTTCACTGAGTGATTTTATGTGACTTGCTGTTGTTGTGTGCATGTGTCTAGAGAATTTGAAAGGTTGTATTTTAGTTCTGGGTTAATGATAATCAGAATGCCACATGATATCCTTAACCACCTATTTCTTTAGGTTAACTACCGACTGCCTACAATATTTCCTTCTTTTGTCCCTTCTTCTCTCTTTTCTTAACCACCAGTTTTTAACTGTATTCTTTCTTCTTAGTCCCTTTGTACTAAGGTGCATATTTAAATGTCGACTATTTGATTCATCAAATTGAAATGTTTTTACCCCAAAATATGTTACCGAACCAAAGTTGGGTCCACTTGCCCACAAGCAGTAAAACCAACCTACTGACACTGGGTTGTGATGAAGAAATGTACAGCATTTATTGCCGGCATCTAGCAGGAGTGGCAGCTCATGCTCAGAGGACCTGAATCTGACAGCTTTCAGGGAAGAGGTTTTAAAGGCAGGGTGAGGGAAGGGGCTGCAGGGGGCCTGATCAGCTCCTGCACAGTTCTCAGACTGGTTGGCATCAAGGTGAAGTTTCAAGCATCTTCAACCTTCTGGTTTCAGCCAGTTTAGTGTCTATATGCTTGCAGTCAGCGGTTCTCATCTGCCAGAGGCTGTTTCCTGTAAAAACAACCTAGGAATGTGTGTCAGACCTTTATCTTTCAGGGCCCTGGGAAGTGGGTGATTCTGCTCTGTGGCGGGTTTAGAGTTTAGATTGTTACCAGTTTCCTGGCTCAATAGCTACTTTAAATCTTCACATTTCCCAATCATTAACTCTTGAGTCAGCCTTTTGAGACTTGGGGAGACCTGGGAGACTAAGCAAAATTCTTTTACTTCAAAGGACAGGGACCTAGGGGTTGTATACGGTTTCAAATATAGACGTGAAAATCTCATTGACACAGAATCCTATTTTCTCTTTCCTCCCAAATTTTGTCCTATCATTTTAAAATCGTGAGGCTTTATAACATGTACCTTGTATGTATACATGTATGTATATGTGTATAACATGTATCCTGTAACCCTAACTTCATATCCATGATTTCCCTAGCCCTTCCCTTGTGACTCAGCTGGTAAAGAATCTGCCTACAATGTGGGAGACCTGGTTTCCATCCCTGGGTTGGGAAGATCCCCTGGAGAAGGGAAAGGCTACCCACTCCAGTATTCTTGGGCTTCCCTTGTGGCTCAGCTGGTAAAAATCCGCCTACAATGCAGGAGACCCAGGTTCGATCCCTGGGTTGGGAAGATCCCCTGGCGAAGGGAAAGGCTACCCACTCCAATATTCTGGCCTGGAGGATTCCAGGAACAGTATGATCCACGGTGTCTCAAAGAGTCCGACATGACTAAGCGACTATCACTTCACAGTTAATTCAGCACTCCTGGTCTTGTCCTTTACAGCCCTTTCCCCGTTCATCTCTCCTACTGTGATTTATCTTCAGCTTTGTGCACACTGATGATGAACAGTTTTGAAGTCGACCTTTGTAGCCCTGGACCAGTCGTCCTCCTCTCCACCTGAGGCCAATGCCAGGCTCCCGGGGTCTGTAGCGTCACAACCTTGTGCCATCGCGACCCCTCTTGGCGGCAGGGAAGTCTCCCGGTTCTGCTGCTGCGGTCCTCCGGCCGGCAGGGGGCGCGCGGCAGCAGGAGCGCCCTCAACGCAGGCGCCGGGCGCCTCTCTTCCGGCCGTACGCGCCGTGACCCCGCGCCGCCGCGCGTCCCGCGGAGTCTGCGTAGGGGTTGGCGCCGGAGCGGTGTTGCCGTCGGGGGCTGACGCCGAGCGCCCAGCCCGCGGTGTCGGCGGCGCGTTGGCGTCGGTGCGCCGCCGCGGCCCGGGAGCGTCGGCCGGGCGCGCTGGGTAAGTGGTCTCTGGGGCCGGTGGGCGGGCGCCGGGGCCGGCGCGCCTCACCGGCCGGGCGTCGCGGGAGGCGAGGCCGCTGCTTTAGGCCGCACCGCGAGGGGCGGGGGTCCCGGACCGGCCCCGCGCCGCTGGCTCCCCCGCGCCTGGCGTCCTGGCCGCTGATGAGCTTCGCCGCCTTCTCTCGCTCCCTGCCGCCCCCTTTCTTTATGTGTCTCGGCTTGCCGGGCCTTCGCACCCCTTCTCTACCCTCTTTCCCTCGTCTGTCTGGTCTGTCCTTGTCTGTCGACCCGAGGGCGCCTTTCCCTCTCTTGTCCCCTCCCTCTCGCTGTCGGTCTGTCCGGGAACAGCTGTTGGTCCCTTGAACCCGGTAGGCGGGCCTGAGTAGCCTGTGGCCGGGGCCGGGGGCGCCGAGGAAGGAATCCGTTTCCGCCCCCGGCTTCGAATCAGGTGTGGCCATCCCTCAGAGATGAGGGATTTACCTGGACGAGGCTCCGGCACTGCCTCGGACTCTGTCTTTTCTTAAAGCGGTATTTTAGCTTTAATATTCAGTCACCAAGTTTTTTTTTTTTTTCTTGAACGTTTTCTTTTGCCCAGGTCATGTTTAGAAACAGCAGATAGTTAGATCAGTAAGATTCTGTCTATACGCTCCCGTGAGTTTAGTTTCCAGAGAAACAAGTGTAAAAAGCTACGCCTCGGTCGGTCTGAGGGACTGGAGTGGGCTCTGGAAAGGCTTTCAAAGGAGTGAGGCGTGTAACTGAGCCTTGGGGGTGTTTTTTTAGATGTGCACAATGAGGGAAAGCTTCCCTGCGGAGGAAATAAGTGTAAAAGTAGCAGAGGTGAAGCACCTTAGTGCATTCTGGAAACTGCAGGAAAGGCAGATAGAAGTGTGAATATGGGTAGTCAGGTCAGATCGAGAAGGTTCTCTGACAAGTCAGTGAAGGAGGGCCCTGGGAGGTGCTTATTCCTAGAGGCAGGCAAGTGGGTGGGAAATAGGGTATACTGGAGGAGGGCAAAATTCTGCACATTCTCAGGTAGGTGCGGACTGTGTCTCCCCTCAACAGGTGTTTTTAAAGGATGCAATTCGGTTTCCACAGTTCTGTGGGTTAAAGGCCCCAGGCAGTTTGACTATAGTGAGGATATTTAGGCAATATGGGATATTACATTAGTAACTTAAACTGTGGGTGTTTTATTTTTAGAAGAAATAAAGCAAATGGTACATACTAAGAAATGTGTTGTATGCTGACTGACCACTCACTGATATGTTTAGAAAATATTTAAAAAGTGCTTAACAATGTCCCAAGCATGGTGCTCCATTGGAGATATAAAGATAAAGACAGAAACAGCCCCTGCTGCCTCTGAGGGGTTTATGATATAGTAAGAGACAGACATGTCACTCAGTGGACAGCCTAACATGATGTGAGTGTGTTCAGGGGGTAGCTGGTTTTATGTGAGGGTTGTTGTCAGCAAAGGCTTCAGAGATGTACTTAAAAGATGAACATGTGGGATGCTCCTAAGAAGATGTCTTCCATGTTCTTTTTTGCCAGTTGCACGCGTTTTAAAAAAGACTTTAGCTTAGGTACAATCTTGAAAAGTCATCATTCTTCCAGAAAAACTGTGTCTACCATGTTTCTTTTTAAGTAAAAGAAAAAAGAGCATACCTGGAAGATGTGTTGATCAAAGTCTGATGTTACTATGAAAAAGACGTCAATGGTGAGATGGTATTTTAAAGAAGTTATGAAAATCAACTGTTTGTATTTCCATTTGGTCCTGGCTTCCTAAGATATATCCAAATGTTAGAAAGTGCTCCGTTTTTATTACTTGTCACCAGACTTCATGACATAAATGTGTTGTACTATCTGAAAGACATCTGAGCATTAATTAGGTGAAGTTCAGGTCATAACAGAGTCTTGTTAGTGCACTTGTTACTTTCAGTGTTTGCAGCAGAGAGGATGCATGAATCAACTGTGATATATTTACAAGTACTCAAGGCAGCTAAAGTGAAGATATATACACCTTTAAAGGAATGGATGCAGCAGGTTGTGTCGGTAAGGTTATATAAAAGGAGGAAAGGAAGGAATGAGAATGGGGTTCAGGCTGCTGCTGGTCCAGGGAGTTCACTTGGGTGGACGGGATGGGGTGGTGACCATGTGGGTGGAGGGTGATCTCTTGCTTTGCTGGCGCTTGTTGCAGCTTAGTAGTTAATTAAAGCAAGTCTTACAAGTGCAGGTGGCTACAGCGTGTCGTTGCTGTGGCTCATTCAGTTCTGTGAATTTGAAGATCTGTGAAGAGAAAAATGAAGAAAGCTGTTCTGCCTTTACTGTGATGAGGAGATCTGATGTGTAAGCTCCAAGGTACAGCAAGCTAGCAGATGCTAGTAAGGCAACATCAGTTTCAGATATTTAAGGTGTGCTTTTGAAGGTTTTGAGGATAGAAACAGGGAACTTTAAATGAACATAAGATTTTGCTGCACAATGACTTTTGAAGCTTGCGGAGCGAGGCAAATCAGGTGCTATTGTCAGCAGCTAGCTTCAGGTAGACTGGAGTTGGAGCAAGTATGGTGGCATGGAACCTCACCAGTTGGGTGATGAAGTCTTAGGAGTTGGGCTCTTGGCTGAAAGAACTCTGTTGGAGGTAGAGAGCCTCTGCACTGCTTGAGCGTGTAGCCCTGAAATAGGGAAAATGTTCCCATCCGCGTTTACTCCTTCCGTAGGGCATGTCCAGCATCCTGTTAGCTCACACTGCCTCCCCTTGTGCTGCTACTCCTCTCCTTTTTACTTGGTTTTTAAAAAATTTTGATTGCGGTGAAGTACACATAAAACTTGTCATTTGAACTGTTTTTACTTGTGTAGTGGTGTTGTGTGACCATTACCACCATCCATCTCAGCTTTTGTTTCTTCCTAGTGGAGCCTGTGGGCGCTGTGTAGTTTCCCTGCTGATTCATGTGGCTAAAAAGAGTTTATTTAATTGTTTATATTTAAAAATGTTTATTGAATGCCTCCTCTGTGCCAGAAATTGGAAATGCAGAAGTGAATAAGTTGGTCTTTTTCCTTCCGTTTAGTGGGCATTTGGTCACTCGATTTCCATTGAGACCAACATTATTTGTATCCTGCCTGGGACTCTGTGCTTCCTGGACTTGGTTGATTATTTCCTTTCCCATGTTAGGGAAGTTTTCAGCTGTTATCTCTGCAGATATTTTCTCGGGTCCTTTCTCTTTTCTCTTTCTGGGACCCCTAGAAGGCAAATGTTGCTGTGTTTAATGTTGTCTCAGAGGTCTCTTAGACTGCCTTCATTTCTTTTCCTTCTTTTTTCTATATTCTGTTCTGCAGCGGTGATTTCCACCATTCTGTTTTCCAGGTCATTTATCCATTCTTCTGCCTCAGTTTTTATCCTGTGGATTCCTTGTAGTGTATTATTCAACTGTATTTATTTGTTCTTTAATTCTTCTTGGTCCTTGGTAAACATTTCTTGTATCCCCTCCATTCTTTTTCTGAGATCCTGGGTCATCTTCACTATCATTATTCTGAATTCTTTTCCTGGGAGGTTGCCTATCTCCACTTCCTCTAGTTTTTCTGGGGATCCTTGATCCTTCATTTGGGACATAATCCTATTTCTTTTCATCTTGGTTAGCTTTCTCTGATTGTAATATTAGTTCTAGAGGCTTCTGGGACTGTAGTTCTTATTTCTTCTGTCTGCTCTCTGGTGGATACGGATAAGAGGCTGTGCAAGCTTCCTGATGGGAGGGACTGGCTGTGGGAATAACTGGGTCTTGCTCTGGTGGGCGGGGTCATGCTCAGTAAAACTTGACTCCAGTTGTCTGTCGATGGATGGCTGCGCTCCCTTCCTGTTAGCTGTTTGGCCTGAGGTGACCCAGTCCTGGAGTCTACAGGCTCTGTGAGTGAGTGAGTGACGTTGCTCAGTTGTGTCTGACTCTTTGCGACCCTGTGGACTGTAGACTACCAGGCTTCTCCATCCATGGGATTCTCCAGGCAAGAGAGTGGAGTGGCTTGGCATTTCCTTCTCCAGGGGGATCTTCCCCACCCAGGGATCGAACCCAGGTCTCCCGCGCTGCAGGCAGCCGCTTCACCCTCTGAGCCTCCAGGGAAGCCCTCAGGCTCTGCACTGGGGCTTCTGGCGCTTCCCAGAGAACTCCCACCCAGCCGAGATGCATCTCCCAGGACTGCCGCTGCCAGTGCCCCATCCCTGGCGGGCCCCTGCCCACCCGCACCTCTGCAGGGCACCTGCAGTACTCACGGAGGCCCGGATCAGTCTCCTGTGGGTCAGTTTTCCTTTCCCCTGGGTTCTAGTAAGCACAAGGTTTTGTTTGTACTCTCTCTAAGAGTGGAGTCTGTTTCCCCCCAGTCCTGTGCAAGTCCTGTAATCAAATCCCACTGGCCTTCAGAGTCAGATTCCTTGGGGATTCCCAGTCCTTTGACCAGACCCCCTGTCTGGGAAGCCTGATGTGGGGCCTAGAGCCTTCAGAGCAGTGTGAGAACTCCACTGGTGGTGTTCGCCAGAGTGTGGGTCACCCACCTGGTGGGTGTAAGGTTTGATTTTGTCTTGATTGTGCCCCTCCTATCGTTTCACTGCAGCTTCTCCTTTGTCCTTGAATGGAGGGTATCTTTTTTTTGGTGGTTCTGGTGTCTTCCTCTTGATGGCTGTTCAACCACTAATTGTGATTTTGGTGCTCTGGCAGGAGATGAGTGCACATTCTTCTGCTCCACCTCTTGAACTAGTCTCTAGGGACCAACGTTGTTTGTAAATACCTTTCTTGATGATGTTCTCAAATTTCTTACTAAGCAGTATTGAGAGAAGTAAAGTGGAAAAGGACTTCCCTGTAGCTCAAATGGTAGAGAATCTGCCTGCGATGCAGACCAGGGTTCGATCCCTGGGTTGGGAAGTTCTTCTGGAGAAGGGAATGACAACCCACTCCAGTATTCTTGCCTGGAGAATCCCATGGACAGAGAAGCCTGGCGGGCTACTGTCTGTGGGGTCGCAAAGAGTCAGACACTACCGAGCGACTAACACAAAGTAGAGTTTGGTTTGTGAACAAAGTGTGATAATTTAGCTTTATAATTTCCCAGAAAGTGTTGTTGTTTATATTTATTTGCCAAAATGTGTCCATCTTCTCTTGCCTTTATAAGAATAAAGAAAGATAAAACAAATGAACCCACAATGTGTTTACTAGGCTTTGGTCTGGTGATCAACTGAATGATGAGGTCTCAAAAAATTAGACTAGGTTAGATGAAAGTTGCATGGTCATTTCTGAAGTAGTGTTTTGAAAACCACATTACAGTTTACCCCTGAACGAGATAGGGGTCAGGGGCACCAACCCTCCGCAGCTGAAAATCCATATAACTTCACAGTTGGCCCTCCATATCTGTGGATTCAGCCAACCTTGGCTGGTGTGGTCCTGTCGTATTTACTGTGGAAAACAGGCCACGCCTAAATGGACTTGTG